CATCACAGGCGACCTTTTCGATCTCCATCTACCTGCAGTCACTGGTACTGGCGACGGTTCTCTTCCTAGTCTTTGAAGCGCCCTTTAGTGCTCTTGTAGGCGATCTCACCCGAGGCGGCGGTAGCAGAGGTCACCAAAAGGTGTCATCTGTAGGTGAAGCGGTGAAGAAGGCAGATTTGCTGAGTTTGGAGGTCAACAACAACGTGGAAAAAAATCAACACCCTGCATAAAATTGTCTTTTACATCAACTAACCTCTTGTACATATTTTTTATTATATTTTTGCCAATTATGCCAAAAACTTCCATTTTCATATCGAACTGAGCTATTAAAAGCGGAAAATCCAAACTTTTGCCGTACATTGGAATGTATAGTTGTGCATTACTTGTTCTGTGGGTGACCCGCCGAATACCCCTCTGCAGTGAAAGGGAAACTTTTCCTTCTTTTGCGTTGCCGTTATTCAGTCAATGTTAGCAAGTCTCGTAAGCTTTGATGTGCATTCGCAGCAAAAAAGGGGACTCTGTTTTTCTCTTTGCCTGCTTTTTTCAGCAGCCAAAGACTGAAAAGACTGTACACAAGTAAACCAGAACTGCTGCTGCGGCTGCCTCTTCTTCTCACAGGCTGCTGCGGACCTGTGGTCAGGCGCAGGTCTGTGCTCGCTAAACAAAGAATGAATCCCTAACTTGAATCCTAGAGCAGCTATTCCACTTGACAGCCACTGCACACAAATACTCACACTTCCTCCCGACGCTTTCTCTTTCTCATTTCTGATCTCTGACACCTGAATCTCTGAACAGTGGATGACATAATGGAGCGGCAACAGCCAGTGCCAGCAGTGTGCACTGGGGATGGCAATGGGCAAGAGGCGACAACAGAGCCACTGACAACTCCCGCCAGTGGGGAGATGGAAGTTTTGCGGATGAAACGCCGCAAGTCCTATACCGGAAAGACCTTTTTCTGCCCCCGATGTCAGTACTCCTGTACACAAAAGGGCCATTTAACGGTCCACTTGAGGTGATCACTTTTCTCCCTGCAAAACTGTATCACTAAAACTTTACATTTAGGACGCACACCGGCGAGAAACCGTATCAGTGCCAGTCCTGCAGCCAGGCATTTGCTTGTGTTTCCACTCTCATCGGGCACCTGAGGGTCCACACCAGAGAGAAGCCTTATCAGTGTCCACTGTGCGAGAAGCGGTACTCACAGAAAACGCCACTTACATACCATCTTCGGTAATGTCCTTTTTTGGTTTTGCCTCCTAGCACTTTCTAACAGTTTATCCGTTGACAGGAAGCACTCTAATTTCAAACCGTACATCTGTCGCCACTGCGGCAAGGCCTTTGACCGAAACAGCAGTCTCGGATTGCACCTGAAAAAGCTGCACCAAAGTCAGCCGTACTACTGTACCTTTTGCCGGAGCGAGTTTGCGAGGAAGTTCCAGCTCAGAACACATCAATGTCCCGCCATATCAGAACTTGCTCGTCAGACTGTCAAAAGCGAGGAATACTCATCAACGACTGAGCTCAACGGCGCTCAGCAGGTGACAACATCAGAAGGGGAGGAAAAGCGATTCAGCTGTGAACATGTCAAGTGCAAGCGCACTTTATCTCTGCGAAGTCACTCTGGACAGCACCGATGCCTGTTTGACAATGACAATCTTCAGCAGTCGGTGGTTCTCAAAACTGAATACACATACATTACGTCCAAGTGCGACTCAAAAGCCGAAACCATCAAAGCGCTTTTCATTTCCGAGGTGAAGCCCAGTAAAAGTATGCTGAAGAGGCAGCTAAAGCGTTCTAGTGTCACTGAAGTGGAAGACACTAAAACGAACATTTTTGACTATGAAGAGAAGGTCAACTTGGCGGAACTTCACAAGCAACAACAACAACAATCGAAGTCACACACTTTGCTGCCGGCAACCGATTCCTCACAGAGCTCTGCCGAGATGTCCACGAGCAGCTTCAGAAACAACTGCTTTCAGTCGGCGGAGATTTTTCAGGCAATCAACTGCAGTCCACCAGTGGAGCAGCTCAACAGCTGCCACCAGATGACTAGTCAGACGAACATGGCCGCCTTCCACCAAGGGTGCAACATTCCACTGACAACTGGTGGCCAGCAGCAACAGCAGCAACACCAACCGCAAACAGTGGCCAGTTGTCCTCGCCAGCAGTGCCACTCACTTCAACAGTCACTGAAGCCTGATCCGTTCGAGGATGAGGACGCCGACATGAAGCAGGTGATTGAGACGCTGGTTCAGTACCTCCCACTGGGCGACTCAGCAGACTCGGCGACACAGTGGATACCAGAGACAGTCCCGCTCTGCCCCATTGCTGACAGCAGCCAACCAGCCGGTCCGGTGGCGAGGCAGTTCAAGGAGGACACCTTTTTCGCGCCCTCTTCCCCGTCAACCACCACCGCACTTCCAAGCTTTGCCACGCTGGCTCCGATGGCCATTGCCGCTGGGGCTGGCGTCTGCCATTTACTGGACTAGTTATTATTCCTCAACGTTTTTTACTTTTATTGAACAATTTTGTGCCAAGTTCATCTAGACAACGATTCTTTATCATGCAACATTTTTATTTTTGTTTCTTTTATATCATGCTACTGGTGGAATAAAGTTGTTTCTGACAGACCAAATATAATGTGGCTAAATATAATGAAATATACAAGTTACAAGTTTGACTAATCGACGAGCATGTTGTCATCATCGTAGGAGACACGAACGCGAACCATAGAGTTCTTTGTTGAAAGCACCTCACGAAGATCATTTCGAGCAAGGGTAGCCGTTTTGACATGAGTACTACCAAGGTTTCGTCGCCAGATATTATTCTTGTTCTTCACTACTCCATTCGATGCGACATCATTAGAGCGACCGACTGGTCCAACACGAAGACGGTCTCTCAAAAGTGTTTGCGTTCCAGATCGACCAGAACGACTTTCGAGGCGACTGCGAAGGTCAGCTGATTTTGAATTTCCAGTTCGACTTTTTATAGGCAAGTTCCGCCGATTCAAAGCCAGTTGTTGTGCCTCTTCTTCATCAGCTCTCATGCTCATTTTGAAAGCTGTAGCATTCCTCACCACCTTGGTACGAAGATCCATGCTATTAGAAGCCCGACCTCGTGTTCTGCGAGAAATAGCATTGAGAGCTGCGCTGAGAGCACCTTTAGGCTTATATTGTATAATTCCGGGTGGTTTCTCCAGCTCAGAAGTTGAAGTAATCTTTTTGTCGTTGATGGTAGCAAAGCGAAGAATGATAGATTTTGCTTTCGAGTGACTGCTGCCGAGAATGTATCGATAATTAGGAGGAACTGGTATTTCCAAAGTGTCAGAGCTAAAAACTTCTAAATCTAACGAAAGGTCTTCCACACCGGAAAGCTTTCCTGACGTGGGGCCGGCGTTCTTGTGGATGATCAATCCAGTAGCCACAGCCTGAAGAGCATTGCAGGCACGCGCCTCGCTGTCAAAGGTTACATTGCAGCAGATGTTGCTGAGCCACTCAACAGAGTGGGGATGAATGGGTCCAAAGTAATCGTAAATGTCAGTTGATGTCAGGTTATCCACTCCTCGGATGTTCAGTGTATCGAAGCGCCAGATGGAAAAGGGCTTGTTCAGTTCTTCACTGGGAACCTCTAAGGCGTTGCATAAAACCATTAATTCGTCAGTGTCCATGGTCAGATGAAGTAAACACGAGTTGATGTAGAACAAGAAAGTTACAAATTAGAAGTAGAAAATTGATCAGAGGATTATGGAAGTTTTTTTTGAGTCTAAAATACTGTAAAGAAAAGCTTGTGGGACACAGCAAATAAACTTTTGTGCGGCAGCGCCCAAAAAGGGCGGTCTTTTAAAATCAGCATTTTCACAAACAACGTGTATTTTTGTTTGTTTATTTTTTCAAAGATTCCCGTTTTTTGCGGTAATTCCTTCTTTCTGAAACCCACAATGGATATCTTAATGTTGGCAGCTGAACAACTTATTGAAAGTTTAATTAATCACAGTTTAATGCCAATATGGCAAAGATTTCACAATATTATGTTCAAATAAACCTAAAGCTAAACGAAGCTCTGAATGTTGCAATGGTACAATGGACATCATTTGCCTCCTTCTTCTTGAGTCAACTTACTGACCAGTTCCAGTTTGATGAACATTTTCAGCGAAGGATCAGTGACTAGGCGTTCAATGTCAGCTCGGGCCTTGGCTCCACCATCCTTGTAGTGGTCCACCAAAGACTGAGCATAGTCAATCCAGACGCAGTTTGAGCAACCAGACATGCAGCAATTAGTGGGTGGATCGGGCAATGTATCCTCTGATGACGATTCACTTCCTTGAGAGCAGGAGCTAAAGAATTTCTAAAATAAAAGACACTATTGTTTAGGCAAGAGTCCGTTTTTAAAACAAAGTAATGACAAAAATCAATGCATGATTCTGTATCACTTTCGTCTTTGATAAGCAACTTACAGCTTGATTCAGAGCATTGATGACTGTCTTTAACTTGTTAGTGTATCCACGTGAAGCAATAACTCGACTACAAACTCTGCCCGAGACGAAAAGTTGGTGCATTTCGTTGCCAACAGCTTAAATCCTGAGTTTGGGCGTTTGTTTCCTTTTTTATTTTAAAGTTGACGCAAAAGTACAAAGTTCGAAAAATATTCTAGTCAAATGGAATTTTCTTCATTTGATAAGAGATAACACGTGAAATTGTCCGAAGTGACCAGAAAATGAGGAGACGAAGAATCTGCAATGATGAAATCTGTGGAAATAGAAAGTGGTGATACTCAGCAGCTGTGAAAGTGAAATAGTGTGTGTTTATGTTTTGGATTCACTGCACTGGAAGCACTGTCAGTCCACAAATCTCGCCAGTCTCTCAAACCGGTGCGCACTTTCAGGAAAGGAATCGATTGACTGAGCGAAAAAAACTCTCAACACTGGTGGTAAGTTTGGTTGAAAAGGTATCAGTTGGTACTAATCAGCATTTTTGCACCCTAGAACTCATTTAGACAGCCTAATGGCTCAGAATCCACTTGATCTAGAGAAGCGATATGATGTGATTGTGACTAGCTCTGACCTGACGAGTTCACTGGTCGCTGCAGCAGTGTCTCGGGCAGGCAAAAAGGTGCTCCATCTTGATCCCTATGATCGCTATGGGCAGGAATGGGCTGCTTTGAAGCTTTTTGATGTTATTGCTGCGCCAGCTTTGCTTATCAAAGAGCACCCGCTTCCGGAGAATGTTCCTGTGGATTGCGTCGCTACAACTCCACCTTCCCTCATCAGCAATGTCCACCTTGAAGCACCAGTTTTCGAGGATGCTACCACTGGAAAGGCATTTTTGACGGATTTTGGCCGAACACCCCCAGATGATGTTATTGATCGATTTTTTAACGAATTTTATCCAAAGCTAAAGCAAGCAAAGTCGTCAACGGAGGTCAAAGAGGTGCTGACAATGCTTAAGGAAGAGTTGAGCAGCTTGAATGCTTTTGACAATTCCTTTTCTATTGATCTGACGCCAAGAGTAAGTAGCGTAGAGTCTTGAGTGTTTATTTTTTACTAAAAAATGTTTTCAGTTTATCTTCAGTATTGGTGAAATGGTGGACATTCTCATTCGCTCCAACGTCACGCGATACCTCGAGTTTCGAAAAATTGCTCGCATTCTAACGCCCCTGGCAAAGCGTGAAGGTGAGGAGAGTAATAACTTTGCACCTGGTTCCACCTTCAAGTTGATCAACGTACCTTGCGTTCGAAAAGACGTCTTCATGTCGAAAACCATCTCATTGATAGAGAAGCGTCTTTTGATGCTTTTCCTTGACTTTATCAAAAACGCCTCTTCGACTAAAGCTACTTCGGAAAAGACGGTTCCCGAACTGACCCAACCTTTCAGCGAATGTCTGGCAGAGCAAAAGATGACTCCAAAGCTCTGTGATCTACTCGTCCACTCGGTGCTCATGGTAGAGCGCAGCGACTTGATCAACACCAGCGAAGCTCTGGCCAAGATTGGACGTTTCATGTCGGCCATTGGTCGCTTTGCCGATCGTCCCTATCTCATTCCCACCTACGGCACTGATGATCTCGTGCAAGCCTTCTGCCGCTACTCGGCCATCTACGGAGCAACGTACTGCCTGAACAGTGTTGTACAGAGTCTGAAAATTGACGACCAAGGCGAGGGTGGAAAGAAGCTGGTGAGCAGTGTCAACCTGATGATGGAGCGCGAGGGGGCCATTTCGGTTGAATGTGATCACCTGGTGACCAACTATCAATTTCCGACCGTCTCACAACAGTCCCCGTCAGAGAAGTCTCTGCAGGCACTCTCTCGGGCCATCGTCTGCAGCCGACAGTCTATCTGTGCTGATGGCCTGGCCGAATACGAGAATACCAGTGTGCTTTACCTTCCACCAGAGATGGTCGGCTCAAGATCGGCCGTGTACGTCTTTGAGACGGACAAGTCGACAAACGCTTGTCCGAAGGGCCTTTGTAAGTTTGCTTGTGCACTGGCATTGCTCATTGAAATCTAACATCGATCTCCACTAACAATTCCCCAACAGACATTCAGTTTTTCTGGTGTGATGCCACTCTGACGGCGGTCGAAGACCTCAAGCCTGTCATCGAGAAGCTGTACAGTGCCAGGGTGGGGACAGATTCCGAAGACAGCTGCGAACCGCCTCTCTGGTCTCTGTACTTTACCCAATCAACGGAGAAGCCCTATTCAGGCACTCAGCCCCTGGCGGAGAACCTGCACCACATCTCACCACCTGTGAATGAGCTGGACTTTGAAGCTGTCGTCGCCGAAGCAAAGGCAATCTTTGAGAAAATGTACCCAGAAGAGAAGTGGTTTCCGGAGACCAAAGAACCATCCACAGAAACCCATAAGGAGGAGGAGGAGGAGGAGGAGGAGGAGGAGGAGAAGGAGGAGAAGGAGGATGAAGAAGAGGTAGTGGAGGATGACCAAAAGAAGGAGAAGAAGAGCGAAGAAGCAGTTGAAGGTGAAGTGACCAAAGAATAAAGCAAGACCTAACCGGGAAGGAACAATCTAGTTGTCAAGGTTAGCTTTGAGAAAGTCTCCCTGTGCAGCTGTCAGTCTCAGCTCTCGCCCTTCGTATGTGCTTTACTACTGGCGGCTTGTGTTATTTTTATCTTTTAATTGGTTAAATTCAACTGTAAATGAGAGAGGTGATGTGCATCAACCATGAACAATGGAAAGTTTGTTGCGTTTTTAAACAATAAACAAACCGTTGATGCGTTCAGATGAAAGTTGTACAGTGTCTGTCTTCCTTTGTGTGCGTGTTCTGTACCTGTATCGGTTGAAGTGCTGTGAAACCGGTTTGGTTCCACTGCTGAAACTGGCTGCATTTCTGTGATGTTTGGCTGGCAATGGAGCATCAGCATCACCAACATTTAGCGTCAAGAAGAGGATGGCGGAAGAGCTGCTAAAAGTGGGTACCTCTCTGTGAGAGTCTGTTCTGTCTGTTTCCCCAATTGCTAACCGACCATGTCACCCCCGGGGTCAAAGGTAGAGAAGACGGTTCACTCACTGCTGGCGACGGTCTCTTCGGTGGTAGAGTCGCCTCGCTTCAGCTTCCTCCACGACGTCCAGCAGATTGTCGTCAGTCAGCTGCAGGAGCTCGAGGAGCAGATGAAGCTGGTGGCGGAGACGGCGGCGGTGAGGACCGACTGTAACCAGATGCGCTACAAGCTCTTCCAGGTACATCACTTTGGCTGCTGGCTCGCCGACCTGAAGCTGCCCAGGCACGAAGAGGCGCTCATGTGCGGAGAGGTGAAGGCCGCCATCAGGAGAAAGTTAAAGTGCCTGCAGACGGTGCTGTCTGAAGTGGAGGTCATGCTGGCAAAGGGGATGATTATGACCACAACGGCGGCAGGAGATATCACATGCACAGTGGTAATGAATGGTGGGCAGACACAGACGACTGGAGCATCCCCGGAGAAGCATGTCACCTTTGCAAAGGCAAAGACCTGTTCTCGGTACTGGTGGACAAGGAGGCGAATCTTCTGGCTAATCGTCTTTACGGCATTCTGGTTGACACAGCTCTACCTCACCTGGCCCTACCTTAGCGAGGTTGTGCCCGTGCTGTGGGCGTCTTTGAAGAGCTGGTTAGATGACTGGGGTCTGAAGGATGATAGATAATAAAGTGATGTTTTCAGCTCAAATGAGTTATCAAAAAACACTGAAAAGTTTCGCTGTTTCGGTTCAGTTTGAATTTTCATACGAACCACTGCGCTCGTCCTCTACGAATGGCTGCCACTAAGCTGAGATTTTTTAGAGTTTTCTTGCTGTTCTGTGTTGTGGAAAGTGCTTCACTCCAAGAGTTCCAGATTCTCACTTTTCTCCGGTGTCAGTTGTTTCTTCGCTCAACGTGAACGCCCATTTGCTGAACCGAAAGAAGCAGCAAGAGCGTCGTGCTATCACCACTAAAGCCATCGTCTGAAATACGAGCAAGATGGGTGAATCGGTTCTCGATGAAAGAGGTTTGTTATTGTTTAGAATTTTTAAGTTGCCGATTTTGTTTCAGGAGTAATAACTGTTTTTCTTTATAAAGGCGAACACTCGAGTCGTGGTCGTGACTACGACGGCAGCAGCAGCAGTCATCGGGAGCACAAAGGCAGCAGTGGCGGAAGTCGCCGACATCGGTCTCGCTCTCGTGAACGTAGTGGCGGACACCGGGAAAGTCGCAGGGAGAGAGATTCACACCGAGAACGACGTTCCCGGTCTCGAGACCGACATGACCGAAGAGGTGGTGATTCAAGATACGATCGAGACTCGCGAAGTCGCTCTCCGGGATACCGACACGGGCAGAAAGTTTCTAGGCGAAAGAAGCCATCCAAGTACTGGGACATACCGCCGGCCGGTTTCGAGAACATTAAGCCCATGCAGTACAAGCAGATGCAGGCCAGTGGTCAGATACCAGCGGCCCTTTTGACCGCTCCAGGCGTCGCCCCGGTACCAATTGGCTCAACCATCACCAGACAGGCCCGCCGACTTTACGTCGGCAACATTCCCTTTGGCTGCAGCGAAGAGGAGATGATGGACTACTTCAACTCGCAGATGCACTCCTGCGGCTTCAGTCAAGCTCTCGGCAATCCGGTGCTCGCTTGTCAGATTAACCTTGACAAGAACTTTGCCTTCCTTGAATTTCGCTCCATTGACGAGACGACGCAGGCCATGGCCTTTGATGGCATTGCTTTCAAAGGACAGTCGCTGAAAATTCGCCGACCTCATGACTACCAGCCAATGCCTGGCATGACGGAGAACCCAGCGTCAATTGTACCGGGTGTCGTCAGCACAGTTGTGGGCGATTCGCCATACAAAATATTTATTGGCGGTCTTCCCAATTACCTCAATGAAGATCAGGTCAAAGGTTTGTTTTTTATTACAAACTCGAGTTACTTTTAATCTAAAACTTTTCACAGAACTACTAATGAGTTTTGGTCAATTGCGGGCATTTAACCTCGTCAAAGACAGTGCCACTGGTCTCAGTAAAGGCTACGCCTTCTGCGAGTACCAGGACTCGACAATAACTGATCAGGTTTGTTGAATTGGTTTGATACTGTTCGTATTAATTAATCGATAACTTTTGCAGGCAATTGATGGCCTAAATGGCATGCAGTTAGGCGACAAGCGATTAATAGTTCAACGGGCGTCAGTGGGTGCCAAGGCGGGTCAGCTGGGCATGATGAACACTGCAATGATGTCTGGTCCGGTAGCGATTCAAGTGCCAGGACTGCAAATCAGCCAAATGACCACTGCCATTGGCAATCCCACTGAGGTGCTCTGTCTTATGAATATGGTCACACCGGAGGAGCTGGTTGACGATGAAGAGTACGAAGATATTCTCGAGGACATTCGCGAGGAGTGCGCAAAGTATGGTGTAGTTCGCTCTCTTGAAATTCCACGGCCTATTGAAGGCGTGGAAGTGCCTGGACTTGGAAAAGTAAGTTGTTGCCATACATTGCTGAATATCCTATGAACTAATTTGTCGGTTATTTTCAGGTTTTCATTGAGTTCACAAACAATAACGACTGCCAGCAAGCTCAGCAAAGCTTAGCAGGACGAAAGTTTGCGAATCGCGTTGTCGTCACATCATATTTTGACCTTGATCGATACCATAGACGAGAGTTTTAGGCAAACACAGCTAACAACAAATGTTCACTGTGCAACATTTGACTCACTGAAAGCAAGACCAGGTGGTCAGAAGGCTAGAATTATTTTACTTTCAATTTACCATCATCATCAGCATCCCCTTCATTGTCACCCATCCTACTGTCACTCCTTCATCCCACTTATTTTTTGGCATTGCTTCTCATTTGACGGACTCTTGAATTTGAGATTCTTCACTCCGTTCGCCAGTACATGTATTCCAAATTTTGTTGTCTGTCTTAAAGGAAAGGCCAAGAACATGGTCATTCGTCTCATTACTTTTCTCCAATATTTTGATAGGTCCAAAAATAGACTGCATAGAAACTACGATACTGATCGTTATGATCATGGCTATTCTTGGCTTTTTTAGCTAACTGTCTCAAAGTTCGAGTCAGCAGCACTTGCAACGTGATATATCACCAACGACGCACAGCAAGCATTCACTTTTTGTTTTTTGTTTTCGCCACAGACAAGTTGTTCTTCCTTCAAGCGATAAAGACGTCTGAAGATGTTTTGCCAGTTACCAATTTGGTTAAAGGTTGCCACAGCACATTTAGCGCTACAGTACACTGACCAGCTCAAGTCTGCTCGAGCCATAGTCTGTCGTCGCCGGTTATCTCAACGTACTATAAAAGAGCGCTCGGCTCGTAAACAAGCAAACAGTCCAAGCAGCTCCTTTCCTTCTCTATGTCAATGTACTCAGAGTCAGTGTCGGCCGATTGGGTTTTCTGCTGTTTGCATTCGCAAGTGACCGCTGAGACGCTAGGTAATTCAAGAAGATGGATATGAAATGACATTTGATGATTGGAGTATGCAAAGCGAGCTCGGCTAGTGTCGCAATAAACACAGTGTGCTGTACCCAAAACTGGCCAGGACTAAATTAGGCCATTGCAGTTGTTGGCAGTCGTACAATAACAGTAATGGCGCCTGCTAGGCAGAAAGAGACGCTGTCACTGTCGATGGCTGATACGATTGTCCGCCTCTCTCATCTCTTATGTAAGAGAAAGACGTTGAGGCAGTAGACAGAGCCAGCAGCAGGCTAATCACCCCCACCTTCTCCTCCTCCTACTGTCCATCTCTCCCTTACAGTTGGCAAATGTGTCAAACGCGCGCGACGATTTGATGAAGACTAGGAAAACTTTCTCACAGCACTTGCTAGCGACTCGATAGTTAGGTGTGATAGAGGGAGAAGCCAGAGGGAAGACAATGAACAGCTTTTGTTGGCGGCAACCTGGGGGAAAACTGTAGTTGGAGTGAGGAGGTAGGTGCCTCTGGTGGTTGTACTGCTGACGATGATGGTAACAAGTGAACTTGCTGAACTCTGAGGTCGGCAGGTTCGAGGACGAGGGAGGGGAGGAGAGTGCGGAAGAAGAGTTGATGAGGGTGATACAGTACACTTTTCGGTGGTGAGCACCAGCTGCACTTTGAAAGGTGTCCAAAGTAGAACGGACAGCGAAAGTACAATCAGCGCCTAGTGATGCAAGAAATGACAAAGGAGAGACGGCATGGCTTCGAACGAACTCCATCAACCGGTGTCTGGTTGCACTGTGACTCACTCACCCTCTCACTCACTCACTCACCCATTCATTCTTCATTCATTGCGAGTGACTCACCAGGCAGCCATCACCAGGATCTGGGTGCTGCTGCTTCTGTTCGGTGCTGATGCAGTGTCGAGTTCAAGTGTCCTCAGTGACTGACGGCTCCTCGCTGGCTGTGATTGGCATGCCGTCCTCAGTGGTACTGATTTGCCTGAACTGTACAGCACACAACTCATTGGTCACGTCGAGGTGACACGTGTTCAGCAGCTGCCGGTCATTCGGTTGACCTCCACACTGCTGACCATGTCATGTCGGAGCTGTGCCCACTGTTGGCATCACTTCACTGTGACTGGTTGTCCCCACTGTCTGTCTCTCTCTCCCTGACTCCCCCAGTCACTGCATCGTTAACTTCTTATCAGCACACTGTACACTAATGGTGGCGAACCACTGCAAGTACATTGCCGCTGGTGTAGAGTCGCTCCCTCGACTATAAAGCCCAGAGCACCGGCCACCTCGGTCTGTCATTCCCTCTTCAACGTTCACCACCGATTGACTGACTGTCTCTTTGACGCCTTCTCTCCCTTGTGCTCTTTCCCCATCTCCACACTTTCTCCTCTTCTGTGCTGTGTCGTCTCCCCCATCACCACCACTATCACCCACTCTGAACGATGGCCCCCAACGCCCAGTCCTCCTCTGTCCTCTCTGCGGGCTCTCTGCCTCACCTTGCCATTGTCGACAAGCTGAGCGAGTACCCGATCGTCAACTCTGCCATTGGCTACGCCAATGATCGCTATGCGGCTCTGAAGAGCAGCCACCACCTGGTCAACTCTACTCTGGACCGCGCCGAGAAGTCGCTGCAGTTGGTTGTCAACAATGGCGTCGTACCGGTGCTCAACAAGCTGGAGCAGCCCAGTAAGTGCTTTTGCCTTTGATCGTACACTGCTTTACCCATCTAACCCCGTCATCACTTTTCAGTTCACTACGCGGACAACATTGCCGTGCAGGGTCTGGACCTAGCCGTCGCCAAGATCAACGTCATCTCGAAGCAGTCTGAAGAGCTGACCGTCACTGGTCGTAATCTAGTGGGTCAGACCCGCCAGGCTGTGGAGCAGACCGCCGAGTCGGTGAAAGAGCGCCTCGTCTCCGTCAAGACCAGCACAGTGCAGACGGTGCAGGCGAAGGTGCAGTCGGTGCTGGCCGCCCCCAGCCATGCCGTCCCTCTTCTCGACCAGATTCTCGCCGCTGGAGAGCACGTTCTCGACTATCTCCTCCCCGAGATGAAGAAGGCTGCTGCTGCCGCCAATGGCAGCGCCGCCGCTGCTGAGGAAGCGGTTCCCGCGAATCCGGACACAAAGACGGTCATTCGCCTGGTCATCAGTCGAATGCGACGATTCTCCGAGAAGGTGCAGAAGCGAATCATCGACTACGGTCGAGACCGTTGGGTGCCTCTGCTCGTGGAGAAGGCCATGTCTCTGAAGGATGGTCTGGTGCTCATCTCGCCACTGATCACCTCCAAACTGCTCAGCAATGGACACGCCGCCTCTTCTTCCTCCTCCTCGTCCACCTCCCCAGTCACCTCCAACAGCAGCTCTCCGAGCTCAAAGACTGCCGCCACCGCCGCCACCACCTCTTCCTCCTCCTCGACACCACCAAAAACGGGCGGCGCCGCTTCTGCCTCGAACTCTTCCAGCCCATTGGCCACCTCCACTCCCAAGAGTGGCTCTCCCGCTGCCAATGGCGACGCTTCGAAGAGCACCGACGAGGACAACACCGTTGAAGCCAAGTAGAGAAGTGCTACTGAACAACAACTTTGTCACCAGCGCCGATTAACTTCTTCTTCATTATTCTTTTCATTCTTCTACTTTAAGCTTTGATTTTACTTCATTAATTTATATTTTTCTTTTCCCCCTTTCAGCTTTACTATACTTTATCCTTTACCACACACACACATCCCCAAATCAGTTCGGCCAATTTCCTTATTTCCCCCAGTTGAAATTGTCTGCCCCGAACCTACTTTGTCCTCGTTAGAACAGCACACACACTCACACTTGTCCTTGGTGGTGCTCAATATTTACATATTTTTCATGTATTTTTTCATATAAAAAATCAATTAAAAGTGTGCACTTTGACAGCTTCTTTGTTCTATTTATGTTTTGGAACGGCCACTTTAGGCACAAGTGTCCTCTGCAGACTTCAGAGCCAGATCGAGTGTCAGCGTCTGACATGATACAGAAGCGGAGACGTTCATTCCTCATTATCATCAAGTGGCTATTTTTGGGTACAGTTGATGACTGGTGGCTGTGACGATGTACCGAAGACTGGTTGCCTTACCAAGAAGGAGATAAGCAAATCAAACTAGAAGACCAATGCCGTGGAGAACATGCTGGCGCAGACACTGCAGGCGTGAGAAGGTCAAAAGCTACTAGAAGTTTTACTTTACTGATGTTCTGAATTCTAACATTTTGTAGAGAAATGCGGCATTTGTTTTTAAGCCTTGCTTTTCAGTTCTAAATAGAGAATTCACAGAAAGAGAGATCTTGGCTACTGAACAACTGTCTGTGATGATTCCCCCACAAGTTGACCTGCAAAAGGGACTAAAGTGTCCGTCGCACTTGAAGTTCTGTACCTTTCTGCTCTGTTGTTTCTGACTGGTGGGCCGTACTTTGCCCCCTCTCTTTCAGTGGTCGGTCTGTCATCTGACAGTTCGCTCGTTAGCAGTTTGCTATTATCATTATCAGGCGTACATTTGCAAAAGTGCGTGCTATAAATAGAAGGGCCGCATCTGCAGGCACAAACACATGGTACCAGGCATACAAGTTGGTGAAGAGACAAAGTTCAGAAGCAAGTGAAGTGAAGTGATAACGACAGCCGCCGGAGCACTGTTGTTGACAGACAGACACAGACACACAAACTCACTGCAACGATGGACCAGACACCAAAACAGGGTCAGCAGCTGGACACGTGAACATCGATGATGTCATGTTTTGAGCGTTTTATTTTGTTTTCGCTCTTTGAGGAAGGAAAGAAGTGAAGAAGGAAGGAAGGAAGAAGAACAAGGATAACAAGAAAAGTACCAGAAGAACTAGAGGGCACTGGAGGAGATTACTGATTGTCAGTTCTTCAACCAAAGATGAGCTTGATTCCAATTACGATAATGTTGATAAGTATTAGGGGAACTGTTAGAAAAGATAAAACGTCATTTTAGGGCTAATGGAACTTGGAAAAAATTACCTCGTGCAACTGTGCGTATGCTATGAATCATGTTCATCAATTGCATCTTTGGCGTCATACCACCGCCCGGCGACGGCTGTCCGTACGTCCCTGCATACGGCGAAGACATTTGCGCATTGATCATCATCGAATCACGGCCCCAGCCAACTAGATTGGTAAAAATGAGTTAGAATTAGCATCAAAGACAAAAGACAAAAGAGTTTCAAGAACTCACTTTTATTTAGGAATCGCTCTTCATTGAGTATGGCAATGGCATTGACGACTAGCAAGCCTGCTTCCAAGAGTGTAAACAGTGAAAAGGTCATATTTGGAGAGATTAGAGATCACTGGCGGATGACCAGCAGGTACAGGGTGGACTTTCACAGGTGGAATTGACAAATGTGAAGCTGAAAACCGGTGCACCAAAATCAAAACATTGACGATCAACACGTCACTCGAGAGTAGGCGGACAAGTACTCGAAACGACAAGTACTCAAAACTTTGAAAGCAATGTGCATATATTTTTTAAATATCCAAGCATCTCTACACACAGAAAAATGAGTTGAGTTCTCATAACAATATGAGATTTTACCTCTTTTTATCATAAGTATGCGAGAAAATGAAAGAAAAATTTCATAACGGTGAATGAAAGGAAAAGAATCTCATAACGTAATGAGATTGATCGTTTTTCTTACACTGATATAAGATTCTTTTCCTTTCATTCACTGTTATAAAATTTTTTTCTCTTTTTCTCACATGTTTATGAGAAAAAGAGGTAAAATCTCATATTGTTATGAAAACTCAACTCATTTTTCTGTGTGTAGATATACAGATTAAGAATATTCAACAGTGACAGTGAAAGTATTTTCCCGATCTTCTCCGGTGCTGTCCGGCAGCGCTGATGAACACCACTTTTGGCGGAACATCTGGGCGTGCTGGTAGGCAACGTTCCCTTTTCCGCCACCAAGTCGGGCTTCAATTTGGAATGCTAAAAGACTGTCACCTTCTAATTGAACCTCATCCCGGCTGATGTGAAGCACTTCATTTAACTTGAAGGACCTCTTCAGCTGGCCAACGGTTAGCGTCAATTCCACCGAACCATTCTCATACGTTTGTCCCTTTATATGCACATCAATAGATGACCACTTGCGCTTTTGTTCGCCCTCTTCCTCTTTGAAGTTCCAGGTTATAAGACCAGTGTCGCTCGATTGACTGCCCTCTCGCCTGGCAAGGTACGCCATTGCCCAGTCATTTTCGGTTTTCCGTTGAATATTTTCAAAGGAAGCAACTCCGGCATTCCACTTCTGAATGACAGACACATCAGATTTGGTGCCACCTTCCGTGTTGAGTGTCTCCACTCGATATGAATCAAAACTGCAGTCGTAAGTAATCATCACTTTGCCTGGCTGACTTTGAGGCGGCAGCTTGAAGGTGTGCCCTGATGAAGAATTTCCGCCAGCAGTGCTGCAAGAGGAGCCAGCGGAAGAGCCGATTTCAGCGCGAGAAAGACGCCAGGCAAGGGAGCCTGATTGACGGCCAACGTTGGCATTGCCTCCAGGCGTAATCAGCTCCTGATGAGGCATGCGGATGAACTCGACCATCTCCTCGACCCAGCGCTTTTGAATTGCCAGTTTCTGCTCACTGCTAAGACGAGCCTGTAGGGCGGTGTTCCACTGCGTGAACACCTCTAGAAGTCGCTTCTCACTGAGCATCCTTGCTCGATCTTGTGCGGTAACACGCCACTCCGCCGTGTATCTCCACGTCACGTCTCTCAGCTCAAACTCGCCCCGAGCCACAACCAGGTCCATCTTCTTTCCCCAACCTACTTCATAGATCAGCGGATTGTCAATGGCATTTTCACATGGATCGGCGTGGATCCACCGTTTTTCCGTTCTGTTGTAAAATTCCACCCACACGTGATCGCTGGTGCAGTAGACTAGACGAGTGCCAATGTTCAGGCAGTAGAGAATGTAAGCAAAGCAGTTGGCCCATTCACCGCAGCGGCCCTGTCGGGTGGTGAGCAACTTTCGCGGGTCATTGTACCGAGGAAAACGGGCAAGAGTGCCACAAGCTGGACAGCGATAAACTTCTACACTGGTCGCCAGAAAGACCAGCTCGGAAATGTCTGCTCCTTGGGTAGAGAAGAGGACGCATCTGGTGGTGCAGGCAGGACAGTCCAGAGCGTCGACCCAGCGAAAGAAATCATTCTTGAAGTAGGCTAGCAGTTTTATGACTAGCAACTGGTGCCGATCAGCCGATTGCAGTGAGGAATCAGCATTGATGGCGGCGTCAATCTCCTTCTCAAAACGTTCAATGGGCAGTATGCTTCGTATCAGATTGCCGTTTTTGGTTTCAGCATCAAAGGTTACTGGCAGTCGATAGTGACTGGCCACAAACTGGTAAAAACTGTTGCCAGACATCTGAACAAGTTAGGTTGTGTTGGGAATGAGATGACACTAAAATCTAGGCTCAAATTGTGATCTCAATCGGTTTCAAATCAGTGGGAAAAAATCCAGGCGTTTGAGTGACACCTCATCTAAAATGACACCAAAATATCTCCATCACAACAATCAAAATAATCGATACAAGTCGATGACACTTTACTATCGTTAGACTCGTTGATTCTTCATTTGAGAAAGCACAAGTTTCACTTCCACTGTGTTACAGAGGGCAGCACTGCGCAGCACTGGCAAAGCCAAACTTGACATTTCTTGCCGACAAGCAATCAGAGTCCAAATCGCAAATTGTTGTTATTGAGGCTCAATTTGTGAGCAAAACAGAAACTCACCTAGGCTTTACCACTTTGGCACCTCAACTTTTTACCTCGATTTGAGGTTTTTTAAGACCTCCTAGGACCACATAGCCACCATTTGATCTCTTTGAAGGTTCTCCAAACAATCTTACATCGCACCGTGTGTCACCATGTCCGCTACAGAGCAGATGCGAGCTATGCTCGATCAGTTGATGGGTACTAGCCGTGCTGGAGGTAATATTTTTATCAAAAATCATCTCTGGAGTTTGAGTGTTCTACTTCAACTCACATAAACATCAAAGCATTTTAAGATTATACAAATTTTTTATTTTTTAGATGAAGGAAAGCGTTCCAAGTTTCACTTTTCGGATGCCAACATCTGCAAAAGCTTTCTTCTCGAGTGTTGTCCTCATGAGTTGCTCGCTTCTACGGTAAGTCTGATGATTTTTTAGAAAAATTTTTGTATTACAACTTTAAAACTTCAACCTCTAGCGCATGGACCTGGGAGAATGTAACAAAACCCACGAATTGGCGCTGCGTGCTGACTACCAGAAAGCGGCCAAGAACAAGGAGTACTATTACGAGCTCGATGTAAGTAGAAACATTTTGAGGGATCCTGCCCACTAGGGGCCGGTTCTCTGTGTACCATCGTGAGCGGAACTGTGCTCACTGCTGGCTAGGTACGTCCGTTTTGTTGTAGCTGTACGTTATTGAGAGAAAAACAGCTTTGTACAGTGGCACAGAGAATGTAGGACAACGACAACACATTTTGTACCAACCAGTCAAAAAGCTCTTGTGTTCCTTTTCTCTCAAGGACCGAGGAACCGATTGACCTCTGACCGATCTTGATCACTCTCATATTGCGCGTATGTATGTCTTGTTTGACTGCTTGTTGACACAGAAACATCCTGAGCGTACGTATTTCATTCTGACCCACTTACCTCACTGCTTCAAGGGAATAGATGAACACTCTCAGAAGTCACGCTCTCTCATTTCGCAAGCGCCCCGAATTGTTGCTCTCGCTCGCGAAGGTGTCGGGTAATGTTGATGTCTCCTATCTTTCAATATCACCAATATCCCTATCTTTTTGTTCTTTATTACCACCTCTCTTTCTTCATCGATGTCTTCAGATGTCTCTCTCTCTCTCTCTCTCTTTAGTGAAGGTTTAAATTCAGTCACTAAANAATCTTTTTGTTCTTTATTACCACCTCTCTTTCTTCATCGATGTCTTCAGATGTCTCTCTCTCTCTCTCTCTCTCTCTCTCTCTCTCTCTCTCTCTCTCTCTNTCGCAAGCGCCCCGAATTGTTGCTCTCGCTCGCGAAGGTGTCGGGTAATGTTGATGTCTCCTATCTTTCAATATCACCAATATCCCTATCTTTTTGTTCTTTATTACCACCTCTCTTTCTTCATCGATGTCTTCAGATGTCTCTCTCTCTCTCTCTCTCTTTAGTGAAGGTTTAAATTCAGTCACTAAATACCAATACTCATGTTGCTCTCTCAGTCTCTGTTGTTGCTCTCTAACCGGCACTATGTTGCGTGAGTCAAACTGATTTTTATTTTTGCATTTACCTTTACAGCCTCTTTGCTCTGAATGCTGACTGCATTGGTGGTGACCTAATTCGTGTCTAACTAATCGAATACTTTTCCTTTCTCCCCCTCCCAAATGGCTCTATTTTTTATCTTTTTGTACCTGGCTAGGCACTGGAACATTTAGAGGCCTTTGTTGCCGATGCTGACCGCCGAACCGAGCACGCCAAGAAGCGATTGGCCGAGACACAGGAAGAGTTGAGCACTGATGCCTCGGAGAAGCTGAACCGTGTTCACGAGTTGGCGGAAATGATCGGTAAAAAGTTGGCCGCCGCTGAAGCTGCTGGAAATGAGGGAAATGTTGAAGAGTCCCTAAAGCTGATGGAGGAAGTGGAGAAGATTAAGAAGGAAAAGAACTATGCTGAAAATGACTACCGCAACTCTATTCCCACCAGCAGCTACCAGCAGCAAAAGTTGCGCGTCTGTGAGGTGTGCTCAGCTTACCTGGGCATTGCTGACAATGACCGACGACTGGCTGATCATTTTGGAGGAAAACTGCACTTAGGATTTATCACCATGTAAGTGGAACAGCTGCAATTGAGAACAGTTGAGAGTTTTTGTTAATTTTTTGTTTTTTAGACGTGAAAAGCTCGAAGAACTGCGAACACTGGTTTCCGAACGTCGCGCCAATGGCGTCTACGCCAAGCGTCGTTGGTCTGGCGATGAGGAAGAAGATGTGACTCAAGCATCTAGACAATCCTCTCGTGGAGGAGGAGGAGGAAACGTAGGGGGAAGTGGCAGCGGACGAAATGACAATCGCTGGAGAGACCGAAGGAGAGATCGCGACTTTGATCGACGAAACCGGGGGAACGCCGGCAGTGGACAGCGACGCCGAAGTCGAAGCCGTTCTGGATCGCCGAGACGCGACCGGGGCGGTCGTGAGGGTCGCCGAGACGACCGAGGATCTCGTCGCGATGAGAGTGGTCGCGATCGGTCGTTCCGTGACGGACGAGATGCTGGAGGATCCAACTACCGAAATGGTGATCGGTTCTAAGTACATCGACTGTCTTGGTCTCCATTACTTCTCCACAACATTATCCTTGAAAACCTCACAGTACAAAGGTGCACTGATTTAGGAACGGTCACCACTTTTTTCGTCATTTAATACCCTCTCTGGAGCACACTACACTCTAACTGATTAGCAATTGAAAATGAATTATTCCCATCTTATTCCTGTTTAGTAAACGACATTTCCACACTGTACAATAGCAATTCGATAAAGCCCTTACGCATCATGGTCCTCTCGAGTGTCGCCTGGACAGCTGCTGTCTAGTTCTTCCGGCGAATCGTAAGAAACGGCGCACCAAATGCAGTAGTGGTAGGTGTTGCGCAGATATCCGTTTAATTCGGCTAATCGGACGGGGTAATCAATATCTTCAAAGTCCTCTTCTGCTACTTCCTCTTCCACCACTTGTTCTTCGCTCTCCTCTTTACTACTGGTCTTTTTCTTGGCGTCAATGACCGCCTTTGGCCAGTACCACTCCAAGGATGGACTGTCTTGAGCTGCCTCCAGATTGGCGCACACTTTCTGGCATTTGAAGTAATCCTTGCGAGTGAGTAATGCCGCCGTTTTAGTGCGCTTTGCAGCTAAAAAGTCTGATGCCCTTTGTTGATTGAGGTGCTCACGTTCAACTTCAGTTGGCTGAGTGTACTTGACGCGTTTCCGTAGAGGAAGGCTACTTTCACCGAGGCCACGGCGATTGGTTTTTAGCTCAATACTGATGGGAGCGCGTTCGGCAATGAGGTGGGAAATTTCTTCAGTGACAGTGGAAGAAGATGGGCCAGAGGTTGCTTTTTTGTTGTCGTCGGTGATGGACGTGCTGTTGTCGGTATTGCCGGCGGCACGTTTTGTCATCATCTTCTGTAGGAGGAGGTAGCCCTTATTGTCGGCTTCTATCGGTTTGTTCAGTGCCGCTTGCCGGTTCGTCACCTCAATGGAGGCCATATCCTTTTTGGACTTTATGGTGTGCTGAAGCTTCTTTTTATGACGCTCAAGTTCTACCTTTTGCCTTTGTGACCAGAGAAGAGTGGTTTTGGCACTGAAAGAAAAGAAGCCATGATAAGCGTTTGTTGACACTCGACCCTGCAAAACTTACTTTTGACTTTCG